ATTTATTGATGATTATTTGTTTATCAAACCTTATTAAATACAGGTAGAGGTTCTATAAATAATGAATTTATAAAATTATAATTTTATTGAAAAATTGTTTCGGAAACCTATTAATTAAATTATATTTTATTTATTTATTTTTGTTTAACAATATATAACCATAAAATACGTGAATGATATACCTATGAATTAATCATTGATTATTGAATTTTTTTAACGAATCCAATAAATTATTAAGATATACTCTTAGGAAATTTGAATATTTATCACCCAATCAGTAGTTTCAGATTTTCTTTGGTCTTTTGTCAACATAATATTTGGCAATATTTGTAGCTTAGGTTTACTCAAAAAATAATGTACTGATTTTGTTCAAAGTTGCAGAGATAGTTCTCAAAAATATATCAGGAATGTTTAGATAGCTGTTACGTACGAAATTATACCAAGTATATCTAGGTACTATAACCAGTACGCTACAACTCTACAATAGGGATAGTTACCTCAGTCGAATTGTTTCATATTACGAGGTACACTGATGTGACATTGCTGATATGGTGTATTTTAATAATTTATCCAAAGGCATTAGGTGTTTTTTCGTTAAACCCATTTCCGTACAAAAAATATGCACAATCAAGCAAAATGATAATTTTTCTATTGGCATGGGCAAGTGGGCAACAATAGTAGACAATATTAGTCTAAGCAGTGTTACTCAACCGCTGTATAGCAAGATAATTCAAAATTTGTCGCAATGTACTTATATCAAATTCAAATGTATGTCAAACGTATGATATATTTCAATACTGTGTCACCATTCTCCACTCGCTACAATACAAAAGTTGAGAAACATTGGTCTAAGTTWATAAGTAGAATTTTCTAACCGTTTATTAAATGTTGTTATTTATTATTATAGTTGAAATATTTGACGGGAAAATTGCAGATACTACTGTTAAGCCAGAACAGTTACAATTTCATGATTTTGGTATGGATGTCAACTTGGAACAAAGCGAAAACCAATTTGTCTTCAATTGGCCGTACCCCACAAAATTGAACCTCTTCACCGGTGCTTTTTTAACAATTATTATGGTAATATTTTTGTGGGTTCTCTTCAATACCAATAAACAAATCTATCAAGATCAAATCGAGGTGAATAGTTTGGTTTACATTATACTGTTGTACGTAGCAAGCACGGTTGCAGGTAAAATAATATCCATCGTAAGCAAAATACCACCATCGGTAGGAATGATGTTGGCGGGTATGGCACTCGGTAATAATAAAATGATGATCAGCAACGACAGATTTGTCAACGAACTTAATTTTTATTTATGGTGTGTAAATAATTATTGTTTTAATTAAACTTTTCTATAATAAAATATATATTCCGCGTGGTCTAAGTGAACAGCTTGATAAAAATATAAAAATATTATTACCTACCAGATTTAACGTCATCTATATAGAGCTGACAAGTGCGTTTTGTAACGGTATTTTAGTAAACAAAACATATATAAGATAGTCTTTGTATTAAAGTTGTAAATAAAATAGCAGATATTATAAAAAATCAAATTTAGAAATAAACTTACAAAACAAATATTTTGAGGAATAATATATGAAAAATTTACTTTAATTCACAGTCCTGGCTTAAATATTGATCATAACAAACAGTATTCAGTTTATATCCCTTCATCGCATTTAGCCTCTGCTCCAGGACATGAACAAATAATGTAATCCACAGGGACTTAAAAATCCAAACTGATGAACAAGGAACCAAAACAATATTACATACACTTTTACAAAATATTACAACAATACCAAGATCCCACATTTTATATCCCACCTTTCCTCACATACACTACTTGACAACCTCTCTCGTCAGTCGTCACCTTAAAAATCATTAGAGTTATGATAAAATAATAATWAAAAAAAAATCATTGGATGCATGGTTGCCCTCATCATGGCAATCTAACATATATATTTCTATTTCATTTTGTTATACATGTAACCACATTTAATTACTATGTTTTTATTACTACGAATTGTGAATTTTCTAATAGTAAAAAAAAATAGGTATATTATGAATTAAATTATTTTGTATCAATGGATTATTTAAAATTAACGCAAATAATTTATGAATCTTATTATATTTAATCTAATATTTTACTATTTACTACGTATTTTATGTGTATAGTGAACTCATGGAATCAGTGATTTTAATCATAAGTTGCCTGGAACTAAATATATGGAAGCTGCGTTGGACCAGTGTTGYAGCATTAAAATTGGCAATTTTGCCACAAATAGCTGAGACARTTACTGTGATTCTTATTATGYATCATTTTTTTCCAAAATTCATCGATTCATATTTTAAATTATTTATATTGTAAGTATATATTATAACTATATTTTCTATAGAAATTTTTAAGAAATCAAATTTTTAATTTGATTTTTTCCAAAAAAATTAAAGATAGCCATTTTGTAGGATTTATTTATCTGAAAATATTGACATTCCAAAATTTTATTTTCATTAATTTCCTGATTTTTAATATTTGTTCTAGTTTTGAGGAAATAATAAAATATGATCATAACAGGCACACTGAAAGTGTTCGGCCAGCCATACGAGTAAGCGCGCGGCGCGGTGGGTCAAATGTTTATCATACACTAGCTATGGTGTTTAATAATTCGTAATTATTCTCGGAACTAAAAAAAAATTAAAAATCATTAAATTAACGGAAATAACATTTTCATTCGTTAATATTTTTAGAAAAATAAACTACAAAAGGTACATATTATATTATATTGAGTGTACAATTAAATAAATAAAAAATATTTTAAAAACTTGCCCATGTTAAAAAAAAGCGTCAAAACAATAAAATATTRATATTAAAATTAATTAAATATAAATTTTAATGTGTCAAATAAGTATTCCTAAATTATTATCAATCTACTAAACACAGATTGTTAACAGTTGATAAGGTTTTAAATGATAATAATATTGATGCATATATTGCGATAGTGGAGGGGGCCAGTTAAATGAGCCGACCATGACACGTTTTCAAATTACGCACCCGGTCCGGCTGAGCCACAGCCGACTCGGTAGACCAYTCGGCCACCTCGTGCCCCTCTATTTTATTATAAAAGTAAAATTTTTGAATATTATACTGTTATAAAACAAACAGAGGACATAATGACCATACTATTACTTAATCCATATTATACATTTTATATTATTGTATTCATATTTGTAGTAACTTAAACATATTTATAATTTTTAGGATAAACTTGTCGGGTATAAATTCGGTCTTATTTATGACAAGTTTGGAAAAACTTAAGCATTTGGGATATTTCGACTCGAACAATATTTATACATTGCTTAATACAGCATCTACATTAATCGATTTGCTAACTGTAGTTTTAGTCTATTTAGTAATTTACGCAACATCCTTTGACAGTAAGTACTTATATTTAATTAACTAGGTATATTTTTTTAGTAATTGCAGTTACGATAATTATGGTTCATAATGCACATATTTTAATTCCTAATTTATAATGTAGACATATTCTTCTACCTACCAATAAATATTTAAAAACAGTTAATTCAATTTAAAATTATTTACTCTCTTTTTATTCATTTGAAAACAGGATTAGAATTAGATGATTTCGAAGATGTGGCATTAATTGCGGCCAACGAAATAGCAATTGATATTGTTTTTGGAATTTTATGGGGATTTTTGATAGTGTTTGTCACATCTCCTAATTGGTCAAAACAGTACAATTTACAAGCATCTGAAAATAATAACGATCCAGAATTCAATAGACAAGTAAATCACTAATTTTATTTTTTAAATTTGTAAAGTAATGAATGGCAATGAGGTTAGGATAAGTAGGTTACATCCGATTAAATTACCTAATAACATATGTTTGTACTTATTTATTTAAGGGGATCGGAGAGGGATAGTTATTTTAGCCAACAATTACCAATCATATTTAGTATTTGATAAACAACTCATTTCAATGCATAGAAATAATTATTCATAGTGAATCTTGGAATAATACGAAGTTTACTCCCCAAAACGTTAGCGGGTTTTTGATGTATAAAAGTGAAAATTATTTAAATCAGAACGATGGTGTTCTAATGTACACAAACAATAAATACAAAGTTTTATATTATATTATATAACAAAGCATTTTACTATAATTATTTAATTTTAATTGATTTAGCTGCAAAAGTAAGCTGCATAAGTAAATAAATTATGAGATCAATAGGTTGAATGGGCAAAAAATATAACTGAGCATAAATTGTTCACTTTAAATATGTGCAACAGCAAAGCAGTAATGATTACTTACTATAGTTACTACGCACACTCTTACAAGACTTGCATGCACGCAACTTTAAAATTGCTTAATTCAAAACCCTTAAAAACTGTCTTGCAACTGCCTCCCTTAAACGTGTGTCGAAAATTATATTTTAAAATAATAATACAACATATTATTATTAATATTATTATTTTATTAATATTATTACTCCGACCACGTGTTGTATTGAATATTGCATATTGTCTTTTGATCTAGAATTTTTTATGATTCGATTTCCATACTAAATATTGAAAGAAATTTTTTCAAGTTATTAAATACCTACCAAATTTAAAATCATGACTTACGTACAGACTAATTCTGATCTCTTCATATACCATTGTGATGACCTACTTATAATAATAATTTAATGGTCACATATATATGTATTTTTATATTCAGATAACTAGTTTACTAACAACCGTGAAGACTGTGGTTCTATTTTTTGTCGGAGGATTCTTAATTGTGTTATACAAAATATTTCATAAAACCATATGGTCTTATTCATTATCGTGTGGAATTTCGTCATTAGTTGCTGGAACCTGTTGGAGATGGAGAATTAAATATTATGATAGTAACAAAGTCCTAACAATGACATTCAACGATGAAAATGAATACCAAAATCAAGTTTATGCMGTACTGAAAGTGTTTAAATCYTTCTGGAAATATCTCCAACCTTTATTTTTTGGATTTATTGGAGCAGCATTCTCAACCAAATTATTTTCTTATAGGATGTTATTCTTTGTACTAATAGTACTTGTGATTAAATTAATTGTAAGTACGAAACATTACTTACTAATAATATTAGACCAAACCATTAGTTTTAAAAACTAGATCATGTATTTTGCGTTAATATCAACTGATTTCACTCATTGATACCATAATTATTGGTATAATATAATTTTTTAAATATATGAAATATAGAAGTATATGATAATATAATAAGATAATAAAATAAAAATAAAAATAATCAAATTTTATTCGAGTATTATTGATTATGCTCTGTTCCAAAAGAGAACAGTCACTTTTCGTACATACAACTGAATGCTACGGCCGGCCGGCAGTKCCTAATGCCAAATTTGCTCAATCTTGGTAATCGACGTTTTYCGACACCGAATCCGACATAAGTAATTTATGGTTCGTTGTTGGGAGATGATCAATGACTGCAAAAAATCAGCCGAAATAATCGTTCTCTTTTGGATAGAGTACCTATATGTATAGACTAGCATAGTAGTATTTATAATATAGGTGTGACAGAAAGACTTGACAAAAAAAAAAATTATTCTAATTAAACGTATGATAAAAATTGTCAATTGTATATGATAAGTAAATAATTTAAGAAATATACTTATGTCAGCAAATTCTTAAAAATTATATATATTTTTTTTTAAGTGATTAGGTACGTTCCAAATTAATTTAACCAGAAAAATATCGAATTTTAAAAAAAATTTTAAAAATAAATAACTTGACTTAAATAAATCTTTCTACCATAAAAATAGTTTTTATAATCAGATTTACAGATTGGCTATTTCGTATTTACCCATTTTTTCTTTATTTTCTGTACTAAAAAATAAACAAATAAAAATGTAATATACATGTAGTGCTAGGGTCAGATAATGAAAAAAAGATAAACAAATAAATAGAAAAATATTAATTTAAATGAAAGTTATTCCAAAAGTCACTTCTATCGTTTACGCCTTAAGCTGGGCGTCCACTAGGTCAGAGAGGTCGGTGAGGTGCGACGCAACGTGGAGCGGAACCATAATAGAATGCCTGTAAACTAATATAGATCCGTCCTCAAGAAGGTCGTCGCGCCGCTCTGGCTTTTCGATCTAATGGACGCTTTATATAGCCAACAACATTCAGGTAATAAACTGTGATTTAAATTGTTTCAAAAATTTAAGGGAAAATTTGTTATCAAATTAGGTATTTATAGGCTATATTACAACATATGCTTATTTTAATTTTTTAGTATTAATATAGTAAAACAATATATTATGSTGTGCCTTAGATTCGAATAATAAYCACAACGTTTGCGGTTTGGGGATCTGGATTCAATCGTAAYGAACTATTATTTATCAATATTGCTTGGCTACCCAATTCTACTTTTTTGGTAAATACTAAATAGTAAATTATATTGTAAATTTAACGTTAGTTTTTACACATGAGYGAAAAATACTGAATTTATTTATTGGAATTAATTGATATTAACATACTTATTATTAAAAAATTTTCTTTCTATTTAGTCAAGTTTAACACCAACGTATTTCATGATTGCGGCAGCTGTATTCCATTCAGACAGTGAATTGGTTTATCAAATATTAAATTTGACTATCATTTCCATTATGATAACTTCTATTCTAGGATCATATGCCATTCAAAATTATGGTGCAACATTGTTATCTACGACTGTTAATATAAAATAATATTAGGAACCTTATGTTATATTAGTCATTGTAAAACAATTTTAATGATTATAATATACACGATACACGTATTTATACACAAATCTTTGATTCGGTTTCATACTGTTTTATACTAACCACTTGTTTCTGACAATTTGTAATAAAATAATATCAATCGTACCATTTAGCTTGGTTTTAAATTATTTTCAGTTTTCAACGTTGATAAAACTTATTTAATTATCTTCTATACATGATAATGATTTGTTTTTTTAATTAAATATTTATATGAACAAATTCATGATATGTAATCTTGAATTCATCGAACATATTGTGCCTAACCTAACCTTTTTGACGACCTGATTGAGCATGATACAAAATTTGAATATTGGTTACAACGTTGTCAAGTTTTTGCTAGTACCTATACTTATGTTGTGTAGATTACTATGGCATTGGTAAAGCGCGGATTTGTATGCATTCGCATATTTATTCTGGTTGATCGTATAATATATGCTAAGTAAGCTCAACATTTGTTTCGTGATATAGCCATTTAAAAAACATCAAAATAAATTAATAAGTATACTTGTACGAATAAACGGTTTTTCCAAATATTTCACTATTGTTCAAAATAAATTTATTGACATTTTAGTGCATGTATTTATGCATATTTAAGATATGTTAGTGCATATATTTGGTTGATTTTTAATGCATTCTTAATCCGCGCTCTACTAATATATAACTAACACACTACACATTAGTCGAAAAAGATTTTGTTATTTGGGTATCCACGGAAGTTGAAAATAACTATGACAGATAGAAAACCAGAATTTTACCTATAGTAACGATTGCACTAAATTGTGATTAACTGTCATTGTTTGTACCTATTATACGCTGTTATTAAGACGGTCACTATCAGTCTGTTCTGTTGTCTTGTGACTTGTGTGTGTATTTTGCAAATGATGGAAAATAATAAAATAAAAATTATTTTATCCGAAAGAGATTATTCTCTATTATTTTTATACATTTATTTAATTTTTTATATAATGTTTATTCATATATTTTTATGTATATTTATATATTTGGTATACAGGATGTCCCGTGAGGATTTACCCATTGCGATGTCTTCGAAATAATGGTTTTGTAATAAGACTCATAGGGATAAGAACTACAATTATTTTATATTTTAATTTATTTTAATGTTTTGGTAAAAAAGTTAAAAAATATATWTTTATATTTTATTATTTCCAAAAAAGTTAAAGATAGCCATTTTGTAGAGTTTATTTTTCTGAAAATATTGATGTTTCAAAATTTTATTTTCATTAATTTTCTGATTTTTATTTTTTTTTTTTAGTTTCGAAAAAATTGTGAATTATTTAACACCATAGCCCATAATGTTATCAAACATGTGACCCACCGCGCCATGCGCATTCCCATACGACCGGCCGAATAATTTCCGTGTTTCTAATAGTTATCAATTTATAATCATTTTTTATTTCWTCAAAATTAGAAAAAKTATTAAAAATCAGGAAACTAATGAAAATAAAATTTTGAACGTCAATATTTTCAGAAAAATAAAC